TTTGAAGCTAAAGAAACTCATATTGTTGTGTAGATTTTAGATTTACTGGAGCTTGAAAGGAGATCAATCACAGATCTTTTATTCATATGAAGAGATCTTTCCTTGTAAGTTTTCTCTCTCTCAAATCTGGTAATATTTCTTTGTGTCTGTAAGATCTGAAATCAATGTTCTTTACTGTTGAAATATTTCATCTTTCTTCTTGAATTGGTGTTTCCTATTGCTTATCGATGTGGAAATGTGTCTCTCACTCACCTAACTGTGTCTCCATTGTTGTTCATGAGTTATTAGAGTTTCATGACTTGTGAACATATCTCTAGGATCACTATGTCAGAGAGTTTACATTTTTTCTTCCTGGTTTTGCTCTTTGCTAAGTTTTATTAGAGGTTGAAATGTGTCTCTCACCTTAACTCTGCATCCATTGTTCATGTGTTTTCGGAGTTTTATAAAAGCTTGAGACTTGGAGAAATGTTGGTTTTGATTTTTGCTTTTTGCAGCTCTTGTATGTGCTCCTGTTACAGGCATTCTATGGTGCTTGGTGTAGTGTTGGAGGAGGAAGCCTGCATTGTGAATATACCAATTTAGCGAGTCTTCATCGGCCTCACAGTGTATCGATTACAGAGTTTGGAGCGGTTGGAGATGGTGTGACTCTAAACACTAAAGCCTTTCAAAATGCTTTGTTCTACCTCAATTCTTTCTCTGATAAAGGCGGTGCCAAGCTTTTTGTTCCCGCTGGTCAGTGGCTAACCGGGAGTTTCGACCTTATCAGTCACCTAACCTTATGGCTAGATAAAGGTGCAACGATTCTTGGGTCAACGGCAAGTCTCTGCCTTTTTAAATCTTTACAATTATTATATAGTTTTTGGGCACTTATACAACTTGTTGATTCTCAGAGCTCGGAGAATTGGRCCGTGGTTGATCCATTACCATCCTATGGACGAGGAAGAGAATTGCCCGGTAGAAGGCATAGGAGTCTTATATATGGTCAGAATCTCACAGATGTCGTCATAACAGGTACTAGTATAGCATTTAGACAAAGGAATCGTTTTTGAACCAGTGAAGTTCGTTATCATTATGTTGTCTGATGGTATCGAAATTATAGGCGAGAACGGGACAATTGATGGTCAAGGAAGTATATGGTGGGATTGGTTTAGAAGTGGAGGGCTAAACTATACAAGACCTCATCTTGTTGAGCTCATGAACTCTACTGGTCTAATCATCTCCAACCTCACATTCTTGAATTCGCCGTTTTGGAACATTCATCCTGTTTATTGCAGGTCATTTAACTTCTATGATTCAATTTGATTTCTGAGAATTTTTCTCTTGGAATGTTCTGATTTGGAGTCTTTGTCTGAACAGAGATGTTGTTGTAAAGAATCTCACAATTTTGGCCCCTCTTCATTCTCCAAATACAGACGGAGTTGATCCAGGTGAGTTTCCTTGCAAACGTTACTCGTATAATCAAGATCTCAGAGATAACTCTTTACAATGTCGCAGAGATAACTCTTTTGGGAATTTTTCTGTTTGCAGACTCATCAACTAATGTTTGCATAGAGGATTGTTACATAGTTACCGGAGATGATTTGGTATCGATAAAAAGCGGATGGGATGAGTACGGAATATCCTACGCAAGACCGAGCTCTAAGATCAAGATCATTCGGTTAACGGGCCAAACTACTTCCAGCTCGGGAATCTCAATCGGAAGCGAAATGTCAGGAGGTGTATCCGAAGTCTATATCAAAGACTTACATTTATTCAATTCAAGTACCGGAATCAGAATCAAGACTTCACCAGGAAGAGGCGGGTATGTAAGAAATGTTCATATATCAAACGTGAAGCTCGATAATGTTCGGAAAGCGATTAGATTGCAAGGTAAGTACGGTGAACATCCGGATGAAAAATTCGATCCTAAAGCACTTCCAACTATCGAGAAAATCACGATTGAGAATGTTAATGGCGAAGGAATCGAAGTTGCGGGTCTTCTTGAAGGTATAGAAGGAGATGAGTTTAAGAATATATGTTTCCTTAATGTTAATCTCACAGTGAAGAAGAAAACTCCATGGAAATGCTCAAATGTTAGAGGCTATTCACAGTGGGTTTCGCCGGAAATTACTTGTGATTCTTTTAAAGAAAGTATCTTCCCGGAGCATAGCTCTGATTGTTTTGGATTATCAGAGTATAATCGGGAGGAATCAAGAGGTTTAAGTAGATCACCATGGTTACTTTCTTGGTAAGTTACTGTGAAGCTTGCTTGAACGTGAAAGAGGTTCAAATTTTTCTCTCAGAGGTTTCGTTTTTCAAAAGAGGTGATTTTGTTCTTTCATTTTTGTTGTTTTGTTGTAAATTTGTGTGCAGTGAGGAAAATAATCAGAGTGGCTTAAGAGTTTTTTTCGGTTTTGTTTTGTTTTTGTATTGGTTTTTTTATGCTTTGGTGAGCAGAAAAGTGTAATATCTTCGAATGAGTCATTTGAAATTGAATTTTTGTTTTTTATGGCTTTTTTTCTATGGACAATTGTGGCTAGCTAACCATGTTATTATGTTAAGCCTTAGTAGTATCTTCAAATGATATAATGTATCTAGTTATGCATAAAATTTATCCAAATACATAGAACCCTAACTAATATATATAAAAATCTATTAGCATATGATAGAGATGTATCTAAATACATAGAATTCTATTAAAGTACATAATATTCTATCATATGATAATTTTTTATTTAATCATACATAGAAATCTATCAACATATCATAAAATTCTATCTAACTATATATATAGAATTATATTTATTCATTATAGAAATATGATAGCATATGTATTGATTGAATTTTATGTATCATTATATGACTTCCCGCGTTATACGCGGTTAAATATATTTTAGAAATCAAATAAATTAGAAAAAATATTAATTCATGATTAAAATTGCTAATGATGCTCAATTTCGGTTTCAGTTCAATTTTTTAATATGAAATAATATCTTTCTTTTTTTCGTTTGTTGGCAGTAATTCTAAGTTCATTAATAACATTAACAATAAACACATTTACGATTTTTGTGTTTTTATCAAATTTCATTTACAATATATTTAACAAAAAATAATTGAATTGATTTTGATTTGGTCTTTGAAGCCGATTTTCTATCATAATAATCAAGTAAGATTTTTTCTTTTATATATTTTCCTCATATCTATTGATTTTGAAATGTCAACCTTGTCGTTAATCATATAAATTATGTTACATTTAGCGTGTCCGAATATCTTAAGTATAATTTAGAAGACAAATAAGTTATTTAATATTTTAAAATATATAATCATAAATTTTATAAATGAAACATAGATTAAAAAAAATGTTACTTTCCAAATTAAAAAAAAGTTACATTTCAAAAGAATCATTGTATTTGTTGTTATAAATTTGGGAAGTTTTTTCAGAAAACATATTAAAATCTCTTTTAAAAATTTGGAAAATCTTTATTACTAATTTCATATTTTCTATAAAATTAAAAACTAAAATCTTTAAAAAAAAATATTAAAAACACTTTCGATTTAGTTATGGAAATAGATATAAATTTATTTGAAAAGTATTTTGTTCTAATTCAAATTAGCCATGTCACATTTTTTTTTAGTCATGTCACAATTATTTTGGAAAAAGTGATTGTGGAGATGACACATAAGCATTTTCTCACAAATCACTTTCCAAATAATATACAAGGGATACTATAATTATATGTATTTAGATAGAATTGTATCATATGTTAATATTTTTTTATGTGTATTAGATAATCATTTATGGCATGTTGATATATTTTTTTGGGACAATTACAAAAATGCCACTTTTGTGTGCACATTTGCAAGAATGCCATTTAGGGGTGTCCATTTACAAAAATGACACTAATTATAGATTTATAAAGCCTATATCTTAAAATTCTAAACACTAAAAAATATTTTGACACCTAAAACTCCTTAAACACTCAAAACCAAACCCTAATATAACATAATTAACCCAAACATCAATAATATAAAGAAAAAATAATTTTGAAAAAATGGCATTTTTGTAAAGATTTCAAAAGTGTGGCATTTTTATAAAGTGGCACTTGAAAAGTGACATTTTTTGGAATTTCTCTATTTTTTTTTCATACTTTACATTGCTAGAATTTTATGTACTGTAATTATATAGAATTATATCATATCTTTACTTTTTTTAATGAATAAATATAAAATTCTATCAATATTATGTTTTTGGAAGGTTTCCTACAAATTCAGGAAGATCTTCCTAAATATGTGAAAATCATTCCCAAATTTATTTTTTATYAAGGTTTCTTAKYMWTTSKYAAAGACATTCATTAAAACATGAATTCTTCATAAATTTATTTTTTAGAAAGTTTTCCTACATAATTAGGAAGAATTTCCTAAATACGTGAGAATTCTTCCTAAAATTATTTTTTAGAGAGGTTTTCTTCATATTTAGGAAGGGTTTCCTAAATTAGTTAAAAGACTTCTTAAAAATCTTCCTAAATTAGTTAAAATTCTTTCTAAATTTGTTTTTAAAAGAGTTTCATTCACATTTAGGAAGACCTTCCTAAATAAATGAGAATTTTTTCTAATTACGAACCCAACCATATTTATTAGTTAAAAGAAGCTTTTAGGAAGGTTTCCTAAATAAAAGAGGTAGAGGTAGACTCTCAAGTGGTAGTGTGTTGTAGTTAACTATGTTCTGAAATCAATTCAGTATATAATTACAAAAATAGTTAACTATGTTAAATAGTAAAATGTTGCAACATATTTTGATTTTTTCTGACCCAATTTTGTTTGTACAGAAAATGAATTTACGTTTTTGGAAAGAGCAATTATTCATGAGATGAAATCAAGTGAAAAATTTTAGAA